TCCTAACAGCCTATAGTGCACTACATAAAATTCACTAAACTTAGCACTTTTACACTATAGTATCTTAAAGTTATTAAGATAAGTAATATATTTTCTATAGATATTTTAAATTATAACTTTAACTTGTCTAAGGAGTATAATCTATATAGTTAAAGAATACCTATTTCAGTAAGCAACTATAGGCTATCAGGAGACTTATAGCACCCCACTGTACATTATAGTATAAAGCTACTATATATAATAGTTATCTACAAGGGTGTCCTAGGCCTCTTATACTTATCTATATAGCTCTTAGTAAGGTATTTACCCTTAAATATACTTATAATAGATCTAAATATACTTCTTTATCTAGTTCTAGTATAACTTAATAAGGTTAAGGTCTAGTAAGTATAAAGGAAAGTTAATAAATTTATTCTTTACTTAGTAAAGTTCTTTATTATAGTCTAGACTATATATAACTAGGTATTATCTTATATAATATTAGTAATAAAAAAAAGGTAAGGTATTTTTATAGTAAATAAACTAGTTATTAGGTAAAGTTAAGGCTATAAATAGTAGTATTAAAGTAAGTAGTATTATATAAGGGGGGAGAAGATAAGTTAAAGATGTCTAAGGTAATAGCCACAGATAAAAAGGCCTAGGCTAAGGGGCCTAGGGCCTTAGCCTTAGTGGCTGGGGCCATTGGAAGAAATTTAGTCTGAAAGGTGGCTGTTAGTGGTTATAGTATAACTAAGGTGGCCTACACTAACAGTGCGTGCCAAGAAAAGTATGTAGGAGGGAAGGTTGGCTGGTGATTAGAAGAAGAGTCAGTTCGATAGTTGGCTACCATTGACCAACGAGCTCTTTTCTAGCATATGATAGAGAAATTTTTATTTCCACAATGAGGTTTAGGTATCGAAATGCCCTTCGGTGCCCTCAACCATTAACGCCTTGAGCTGTGCTGCGAGGGTTAAAGGGTTAAAGGCTGGCCCCCAACAGCGCACCCCGGGACTCCGTTGCCACGACAAAAATCCACGAATTTCGGGCGTGAGAAGCAAACAAACCATTTACAAAGCCCATCACTCCTTAGAAGAGAAGGGATCCCTGACGAATCTGGTCAGTCTTTGGAAGGGGGCTCGCTTGCATTCTATAGTCGCAATGCCTACAAGACAATGCCATTTGCAGAAATACTTGCATAAGCAACTCATATTGAGAATTGACACAAGAAACAGAGCCATTTGAGTGTCACTCACCCCTCGCCCCTTCAGGGTTGATTACAACGATATCCTAATATCGCCTCCCCTTTCCTTCCTAGTGTAGATGTGTTACATCGGTTGATCCGCACCAACATAATGCCTGGGGATTGGCAGGAAAGAAAAAAACCCTGAAATAAGCCTATTTTCCCTTGTTTATATAAACCAATAAAACTCAGTCAAAAGGAAATGTCAGCACAGATCACGAGAGGATGAACAACATGGTTCAGCGTGGAAAATGGTACCTGCCGTGAACAAGACAACACAGATAATATCAAGCATGCGACCAATCAAGATCTTAAAATAATGCTTTTGTCTTCCCAATTGGTAAATCGGCTATTTATGCATCTAAATCCAGTCCCAGATGGCGTGGTATCATGGTATTCATCTCGACTATATCTTCAAATCCAAGTCTGTTCGACTTCATAAGGTCGAACCATTACGGATTACCCAGAAAATATTACATGAAGCTTCTTTTTGGCCCCTCTCATTATACGTCTCGGAATTGTAGTGATCAGATAATCATGGCCCAAGCTAGGGCACCGGCGAGAGCACCGCCAGCAGAAAAGACGATGCGGCCGGCGGCATTGACTTCGACAACGGTGTTGGTGCTGGTGGGCCTCAAGGCAGCGGTCGTGCCGGCAGAGGTTACCGGGATACCGATATTAACGCCACCGTCGACGGTTCGCGTGGCGCCAGTAGGGGTGGGTCCATTAGTCTTCGATTCGGGCTCATGGGTCGCGGTCTTGACAGTCATAGAAGCCTCTGCGGTTTCCGATCCAGTAGTCGAGGACGTGGTTTTGGTCTCCTTGGTCTCCTTAGTCTCCTCGGGGGCGGAAGAAGAAGTGGTAGGGCCCACCGACTTGCTGGTTGTAGCGGGCTTGGGTTCTTCTTTGTCGTCCGAGGGCTCACCGCTCTTAGGGTCGCGGTACCAGTTGGAGACCGGGTCACCAAGACATTCGCCCATGGTGGTCAACTCGAAACCTTTCTCCTTGGCGACGTCAATCATATATTGAACGAAGCCGTTCACGGTGAAATTATGGATATCGTGGGCCAGTGCAATGAATGAAGAGCTCGAGGGGTTTGCAGAGTTGATGGCACTCGAGTATGTCTGCTTGGAGTTGACACCGTCGTCAACCCAGTCCTTGGTGTCGAGGTTGTAATCCGCCTGTCATGAAATATCAGCGTGTGGGAAACAGGTCTAAGGTAAGCAGGCAACATACGACGTGGTAGGATAGATCGTTGAGAGTCGAAATACACTTGTCATCGCAGTGGGTGTAAGGCGGGCGGAAGTAGGTGGGCACAATGCCGAGAGTCTTGGCAAAAATCTCTTCGTTCTTGACAAGCTCCTCGACCTGCTGGTCATGGGTTATGGTGTTGAAGTCTTTGTGACTCCACGAGTGACTACCAAGTTGGTGGCCAGCGCCTAGCATGCGCTTGAGAAGAGGGGTGTAAGCCGGGTTGTTGATACCGTTTTGACCGTTGACGCCGACGAGGAAAAAGGTAGCCTTGATGTTGCCGTTCTTCTCTAGAGTGTCAAGGACCTTTTCGGTATACTCTCCGGGGCCGTCGTCAAAAGTCAGGGCGACCTTGCCGTTGACGGTACAGCGGGTGATATCGATGCCGTATGGGACATTTCCGAATCGAGGACGGTCCATGTCTCTGGTGGCGAAGGCAGAGGAAGACTCCAGGGGAATGGACGCTGCCAGCTCGCCTGAGGCCACCACGGCCATCAGCAGGGAAAGCGAGTGTACTCTAACAAGCATCTTGACTGGTTGTGACGGTGTGGGAGCGAGTGACTTGATGTGGTATGGACCAGGTATCGTGGAAGATGGATTAAAGTTACGGGGAAAGGGATATACTTAAATCCAACCAACAATGCCAAGACAACAACCCACAAGCCTTCTTGTGCATAAAAAGCCCGGAGAGAAGATAAATGAGAGTGTTAGCCTAGCCCGCCGAAAGGTAATGGCGTGGGGATGGCTGGGCAGGTGCGGCGCCCTGCCCGTGTGCCACTCCCGAAGGCGGCGAAGGCGGCGGCCTTGTTCTCTCGGGCGACATGGGATTGCAGGCATGTCGTCGGCGCTGACCGTGTTCTGTTGACGGACCCAAAAATAGGAGGACTAAAAGCAAGGAGGATCGTGCCGTACGAGTAGCCTGTCTTGCAACTTGCAAGGTTGGGTGGGGTGGCTCCGGGCTACGGCTTGATGTCGCAGGAAAGAGGCGGCGTAGAAGAAGGCGACCAAAGTGTTGTCGCGCTAGGGGCCAATGCAGGATACCCACACGGATAGATTGAACGGCCGCGGTCGCTACTCGCCTAATAGTGGGATCATCGCAAAGGACTCAGGCGAAGAAGAAATGAAAGCCAAGAAGTTTGCGGTAGTCGTTGGTCAGAGCCTCCCTCTGACTTTGGCTTCCAAAACCTTCATGTAGTGCCCCTGATTCGGACATACGAAGCTGACCATACGAGTACTGGCAATCCAAGTTACTGGATGCCAAAATTGCAGTCCCAAGGGTGTGCGCCCAAAGCACTTGGCAGTAGAAGTCCGGGTTTCTTTGATTTTATTAGCAACCACATAAGATGGGCTTGTACTCCGTACCTTTTAGGTATAAGTTGTAGGCAGGCATTTTGGACCGGGAGGAACGTTGGTGGTATATGGCCAACAGCCATAGCTTCCACTTGCGCACGGGAGCGCATTGGGGTGGGTATGACAGGGGCCGATCTTGGTTGCATTAGGGCCGTATGAAAGGGGACTGACGCAAGGGACGCGGTCCCTGTGATTGGTCGTCGTCCATCAGCCAGCCAGCCAGCCAGCCCTCTCCATGAAGCAGGCCACTGATTGCACATGACGGTTGTCTGGGAGTGAGAGATTGGTTCGAATGGACAAAAACTTCGAGGCGCACGGGGCGGCGACGGTGTGGCTAGTCACCGTCTCAGTCTCATCCCATATGGGTTTCTGACGGCGCCGCTAGGCTCGTTGTGACGAATGATGAAGTACCTAAGGCACTTGTTCCATCGCATCGTCGGTCGGAGGTGGTGCTGATCTCTCGTCAGTTTCTGCCCATCCTAGTGCACATCTCCGAAGCGCATGGGTTTAGTTGCGTTGTGCCGTAGGGATTGGGTACCTTGGCCCTTCGTTGTCCTAAGCGCAACGAATGAATTGCACGACTGCTGCGTGGTGCCTGTCCACCACCCCACGAATCGAAGCGACCCCGGCGGGCACTTGTCTCTTGTCAAGGCCTCGAATGGAGAAACGAGGCTGGGTATGATGACCGACTTCTGGAAATAGCAGCATGCTTTCCAATCACCAAGACTCAGCAAGGAGGAGGATACAGGCCAGCTCGAGTGCGGCTGCAGACTGAGTGAGCTTCCCGGGGGCGCTCTTTCCTGGGAACTCCTTGGGAAAGTCACAGTTTCCATTGATTCTATTGGTTTCATCAGCCTTACGCGAATGACAGCGGCAGCACCGTCAGGGGAAGGAGACAGGAAGGAAAGAAGGAGGGATGAAGGGGAGGAAGGAAGGAAGCAAGCCACGAAGGAATGGTGGCGTGGATGCCTGCCCGTCGTCTGTTACCTCTCTTCTCATACGCAGCGCAACACAGCCGAGGCAATGCGCCCCTCGCACTCCGCACTCTTCACTCTTGCCTCGACTCACGAAGCTTCTTTCCTTCTGCCATCGTAACCTCCATCGAAGTAAACATTTGGTCGAGGCAGGAACCATCACGGTCCCCCTGCGCACAGGCTTCTCCTACACCTCACAAATGGATGCGATGAGGAAGCTCAGTGCGGACTGGCTAAGCAAAGCACCGCCATGTGTACATCTCTTGGCCTCGGGCCGAGCGTGTAATGTATAGATAGCCTGTTACTGCAATGCGCGACCGATTTTGTATGCTGCACTTTCTCCCGAGCCAAGACGAAGGCTCTGTCTGGCCTCAGCCACACAGTCAAGACACTCGATGAAAGACAGGGGGGGGGAGTGCGATGCATTCGGGCGGACTGCAGCGACACCAAATCGTTACGTCTGGCCTGCTCTCCTCTTTCTATGCGACCAGAGCAAGGCCCCAATTGTGAGGCCATTTTTCAGCTACATGGACCACGGCTCTGGTGGGTTGTCAATGCCAAGACCTGCTTCTTACTTATTCTTGTCTTTCTTCCACCTGTTTCCCGTGTCGAGGTACGTATCCAAGGCGGTCCCTCTCAAAGAAAGTCATGGCAACCGTAACCGATGTTGAATCAATGGAAGCCTGGTCGTTGCACTGAGATACGTATACATCCTTCTCTCTTTCGGTCGTGTTCGAGGAGTCCGATTCCATGCCATCAGTCTATTATAGGGTGTAATAAGCAGCGAGAACAAAAGTGCGACAAGGGTAGGGTCTCACTCGCGACGTCCCTAATTCTCGCCAAGACCGTCACATCTCACTCATCGGAACACGCACTACTCAGCCCCCGACACTGCGTCTCACTGCAGATCACGATTTCCCCGACTTCCCGTTGGAGCCTGAGCCAATCTTGACTCCTTATATGTTGCGTCGGCACTGATTCACTGCTGCGCCGCTGCTCCGTATCGCGGGCAAATTGCTTCATCGTGCCACCGGGAATAAACAAGCTAGCAACCGTACATCTCCCGGCAGCATCATCGACGGATATCTGCTTTTTCCGGCACTGCGAAAGAGCTTGTCTTACTCATCCCGTCTGCTTTACCACACAAATTTGCGCATCATCTCAAGGCGCGCCTGAGACAGCTCGTTGTGAATCTAGTGGTTCATGCATGATTACAAAATTTATGCTTATGGTACTCCCCCCTCGTTGAGTGCCCCTGTATAAGGCCCGTCTGAACTGCACACGAAATTTGTGGCACTCTGCAAGTTCACGCGCCGGGGGCGGCTGCGCGTCTATAGATTCATCCTGAATCCATTCCGATCTAATATCCCCAAGTCGCCGACTCGACTTCATCTCGCCACCACATCCATCGCGCCGACATGGAATCGCTCCTGGTTTTGCGCCGCAGAATCTGCCAGCTACCACAGTAACAATTCGTCAGGCAGCAACAGCGGGCCAGCTCAGCCTCTAGGCTCCTCTTCAAACAGCAGCCTTTTCTGACCTTCGGAATACGCTCCCTATAGCTGGCAAATAGCCGCTCATGGGCCGCGATTGGGGCGGTGCCATGCTTACTCGTATGGGCCGAAACGGCCCTTTCAGTGTGCATGCAACCTAGTATATATGTTCGAGAGGAAACTGCGGACTTCCTTGGATGCCTAGCTTGGTTACTGCTGTTTGCTGCCTGATTCCTATACCAAATCAAGCACCAATGACTTTCATGGAGCCGTATTGGTCCATCTGATGAAGCAAAGGGCTTGGTTATTTACTTTGCCCGGTTGTCTGAAAGTTCTCAACACTACCCAGTAATATCTACTTCCTCATCACGAAGGCTCCAACTATAAAAAAACTGAGAATCGTTTCCACTGATCAAGGTCTCCGGCAACAATACCATGACTCTTACGTATGTGGTGCGTCATTAAACCTAAACATCGGGCAGGCGTGCACAGCAAAATGCCAATCCCATCGCGGTTTCGCTTTGGTATCCTGAGCGTCTCAGTAGTATTGATCTCTCCTTCCGGCATTGAGAGTGTATACAAGGCAACCCGCCTGCGTGCTGCCGCCAATCCCGCCATTGTCGCCTGCCGCAAGGTTGATCAGCACAAATTGGCTCCAATAAAAGACGCAGAATGGGGAACCAGACCTACATTTTCTGTAGTTCTCGACCATGATTTCAACGCACGAAGGCCCATATGGACCTAGAGGGTACTCAATATCCTGGAATCCCGGCGACGTGCGGCAGTTGACGCGCCAGTGGACCTTGAAGTCCAGGAACGTCGAGGCAACATCCTTGTAGCGCCAGCGCCAGGCGTGAAGCGGATGAGTCTTGACATCATCAACGGCTGTGAGGGTGGCGCGCGTAAGGTCATGCTCGCAGAAACGCCTGCTGCCTTCATCGACGTTGGCGTCATGGATATCTGGGTGGTTCTTATACTCTGGATAGTTTGGGTCGTGACAATCTGGGGTACCCAACTCAAAAGGGGCATTATCGCGGGGGTGTACGACCCGCGAGAGGGAGGATCGGCGAAAGGTCAGACTCCCGCCAGATCTAGGTCCGATGATGGCGTCTTTCATCATACTGCTTTTACCTCCGAGGGGGTCATCGAGACTTGGTTGGGCACTGGTGGGCTTGGGGTGGATATCAACGACTCCTGCCACTACACACGTTGCGAGAGCGAAGATTGCTAGCGAAAACTTGAGAAAGTGAACATACATGGTGCCGCATCTGTAACAGGTAGCGAAAGCAGTGGACGAGGGCAGTCAAGACGAGAAGGAATTCTGAGCTACAATTCGGAGTTTTTGTATCAAGTCTAAGATAGGTTCTTTGTTGTCGAAAAACTCATATTCGGTATAATCAACTACTTGCTCCTGTGAATAGTGTCCTATGAATGTAACTAGCTTGTATTGAAATCGTCCTGACCTTACACAGTGACGGGCCTAGTGTATGACCAACCCATTTAATTGCGTTACTTATTTCTTTCAGTCCTCTTTCAATGGTCCTGGTAATCATGTGGTTCAGTTATCCATTTATGGCCCCTTGCAGCTTGTCAGCACAATCAGAATCTCGTTGGGGTTGGGGAAGAAAACTCAAAAGAAAGAGTACACTGATGAGCACACTTATAAACCTCCACTCACACAGAATCGCAGCTGTATGGTTTTTGTTTTCTGGAAGGATTACTACTGTGCCAGGCGGACGTTGGTCGAAATTTTGCCCAAAGCTGTATGTAGTCTTGTTGCAAGGAACGACATTGGGCCAAAGCCAACCACTTAAGGGCGTTTTCATGGTTATGGGAAGCGTAGCAAATTTTTGTGGTCAAGTTTGAGTTACTTAACTTCCTCTACTATTTCTGGTCGGTTCTCTCTCTGTTCACCTGCACAACTCTCTATTCATCGTAGTTACATAGCAGTCCTTCTTGAGGTCGCATATGCACCCGGTCATAGCCATATACAACATAAGAGAAAACGTCAAAAGCACAATGCTTGGTAATCAACAAAATATTGATTCTATTGAGCGTTAACGCTGGTTGGAAACTGGCATTGGGCTGATACCCGTACTTGTCTGCCCAACATCGGGCCGATACCTATATTTGTCTGCCCAATGTGCAACAAGTTGGTTGAATATGGTTCTGCGTTGAATAAAGAAAATACCATTTCAGAAGAAAGAAAAATACTGGTAATAGCCACCGTACATAGAGGCTGTTGTGTGACATAATCACCATTAAGAAGCCGAAAAGTATCCCCGTAACTATGCAAGGGAACAATAACGCCAATAATTTGTCTTTGGTTACTTCTCCAGCTCCTCTCTGAAAGAATTAGCAATCGAGGACCGGCATCTTGCAGTGATTCTGCCCGCTCATGCTTTTAATTTGGACCAAAATTTGGGTCTCTAGACGCCTTGGGTTATGATCGACATTCGCGTTGGTGTCGGTGATCTACGCGGGGTTTTTGAAGTAGGTCGAGGCGCCAGTTTTACCCGTCCCGTTCTTTAAGACATTAGCGCTAAGTCTTCTGCGCAAAAGTAATGAAGTGGGATCGAAGTAGGCTATTAAAATCAAGATTTGTGTTAATATCTGGTTTGTTGCTCTCTCTCTGTGACTATATTGAAATATTGTGATGTAGCTTTCATAATGATAGATCGGAAAATAAGCCTTATGTATAGATAACATTATGGGGTATAACTAGAACAAATGACCTCCTACATACCCGCTATGCAACCGCAAATAAACAATGTTTTAGTAAATATTCATGATGAAACAAAAGAGACGGCGGCCGATGGTTGACAGTTAGCTGTTAGGAGATCTTCCAAGTGTTCCGCCTGACTGCGACTCACTAAGACCTCATGTCCCGGTTGACTCTTTTCTGATAGGATCGAGCATCGCCCATTGTTTGCAGTCAACTTATTGAAGCTAAATACTTCCAAAGCTCTGGGCCAGTTCTTTATCAATGGTATCGATCGAATGAGACCTGCCGTTGTTCTTCTGTCCGCCAGGCTGATCCTTAACCTCAATGACGACCGTAGTCACCGTTTCCATTTGAATGCCCTCCATACTGACACCGCCTCCCCTTAAGGATTGTTGGCTGATACTCCGATGCGAGAGTGTCCGGTGACGCTCATGTTTGATGTCGTGTCCCCAGCGATTCTTCCGGAACCACTTTTGAAGCCAACCGCCGGTGCCCTCTTCCGACGGAAGGTTGGGCCTAGTACTTCCCGCGCCCTGGACCCAGACCATGTTCCCAAATCGGCGGTTCGCGGGTGTGCGCATAAAAGCAAAAGTGTCGAGGCCGGTTTCTTCGTAGCCTGGTGACGCATTGAACATGATAACGTGACGGGTGGTGGAGAAGAGAAGAACGTCAAGCCAGCCGTTGGATGCGATCATTGCACCGGCAAGGCAGAAGTAGCCCAACGAAACCTCTTTTCCGGTCATAGAGATGACACGACCCAATGCCAAGGGTGCTGTGCAGAGGATGTAGATGACGGGGTAGATGAGGAAGGCCGGATGATGTCCAGCGTTGCTCGGGGTGATCTTTGGTGCGTCTTTATGGGAGCTCTCCGAGGGTCCTGGATTAGAGTGCGCGTGTGTTTGACTGGATCTACGACCATGATTACCCTTGGTGTCAGAGTAAGTAGTGTCGTTAGCAGAAGATGGGAGTTGGAGAGAAGGGTCGGTATGGCGAATATGATTAAAGACGAGGATGTAGAGTGCCGCGGTGACGAAGAAGGATATAAACATCCACAGGTAGTGGAAGTAGAGACGCATTGCTTCATAGCGGGCATTGATCCAGCACTGACTTGATGTTAATGCAGCCCCATCTCGACGGATCGACAAAAGACGACTTACCCAAGCAGAGGCGCGAACATATAAACCGCCTCCAGCAGCCCCATTGTTTGTAATGATGACACCAGCCATCGCAAAGGCGTAGACGAAAAACCATACAGAGCCGATCATGGTCCTAAAGGCCCATGTAGGCAGCTTATAGTCTCTCACGACGGATAGATAGGTGTGCACCGCAATCGTGGAGATGAAGGCGCTGGAGGCCAAGTCGCCTGTTGAGACAAACCAGCCTTGCGCCCAACACGTTGTGCTCTCAACGACGATGGCATTCCTGCCCAACCACGACACATTGAGCAGGAAAGCGATAGACTGCTGGATATCGGCCAGAAGGAGATTGTAGATGAGTACGAAAAACTGGTTCGGTGCGTCCCTCTTTGTCTTATTCTTTTTGCCGCCATCGGGGTACATTGTGTCCGGAAGACCCATTTCCTCGGCCAGAACGGCGTCGGGGTTCGGCTCGCCCGCCACACGCTGTGGCCACCGGGGATCCGGCGCCAAATACCATGCAAGCAGCCTGTACGTCAAAACAAAGAGCAGAACCGTTGTTGATATAAAGGATAGGAAGCCGAAAAAGGAGACGGCCGTGAGACCTTGGTGGAGGGCATTGGGAAGTGGCGCAAGCGTTTGGCTTTCTGGGTCCATGGCGGGCGGTTCACGGCGATCAAGCGCTGTGTGGCGTGATCAGAGTTGCCGTCAAACGGCGTGTGATTACCGGGCTGTCATCCAATTTGCTTGTAGAAGAACTTATGTGAATCTGAATCCAAGTTGAGAGGAATTGCACGGAAGGCGATGCAGATAGTGGCTGCAGGTAAGAAGATAAACAATGCCCGATGGTTTCCCGTGGCCCCCGAAGCCAGATTGCGGAGCCAGGGTGATGATTGTTGAGACCCTGTCCCTGCCAAGCTCTTATGTGAGTGGTGTCAACAACCCAGAGTCACAGGGAGGAGCTGTTCTGCAGTCTGCAGATGCCTGACTAGGGGCGGCATGTCGCTAAAGAGGGGAGACAAGGCCATGGCCCTGGATCCATCTACAGGCACCGGCGGCCTCCCCCATCTCGCTGAAGGAGTGAAAGAGGAGGGGAGGGCCGAATCTCGTGCTAACCTTTTTGTTACACCTCATCGGATAAGACATAAATCTCAGTTGCCAACCTCTGTCTACAGCAAGCGTTCCTTTGCCTCCGTGAGGACCGTATCAAGCGCCATGGCCACTACCGACACCTGGAGGAGAGGAGGCGTCTTCCAGAAGAAACTTCTTCCCTAGCATTAGACGCCGGACTTTTCGACCTTCATTACACTCCAATGTCGATGGAGGGGATGAGAGCCAATGAAGAAAGTTTTGGGGCAGGACCTCGAACATGAAAAGTGGAGGTGGCTGCCACGAGGGCGGCTGAAGCTAGCGCTTGACGAACTGATACTACCAACTAGGCCAAACCTTAGGTGTGCCAAGAGACATTCTGATTGGTGCTCTTGCGATTGCCTGCCAGGGGTGAGGGCGAATTGGTAAATGTACGGTCCGGCTGGGCCAACATGTTGTATTCGAATCAGATTATAGTTTGAATGTGCCAAGAGACGTACATAGGGTAGCAGTTAACAGGCAGACACATTGCAGGTCTACCCACAGGCCCCCAAAGTACCGCACTACAACCAACATTAATTATATTAAAATAATAGATATATTTAGATATTCTGATTAGTTAATCTAGTTAATATAGGTCTACTATATCCTCTGCGTTTTTTTAGGGTTAACTAGACTACCTACCTATATATAATAACAGTAAGTTAATAACCTATTACTATTAACCTATTACTATTAACCTATTACTACTAACTTATTATTAACTATATTATTTATTACTAATTAACCTTTTACCTTATTATTATTATTTTTTTTATATTACTATAGTATTAGATATTTCTTTATTAACTACTAGTAAGGCTAATATAATTAACGTATTAGATAATAAAATTATAACTCTCTAAGTGCCCTTATTACCTAACTATAAGGATAATATAGTTAACTTTAACCTAGAGGACTTTTAAAAAAAGCTTAATAGTAAGAATATTCTTTTTACTAGCTTACCTATTTATCTAACTATTTACTTTATTAGGATTTACTTTATATATCCTTAAGACCTAGGCTAGCCCTATTATTATACCTAATAACCTTGCTACCTACTATAAGTAATACTTTTACTTTACTAAGCCTATAGAGGTAGGCACTACTAAATTTAAATAAATATAGGCTTTTGTTAGTAATTTCTTTAATTTAACTAAAGCTTAAGGCTATACCTCTAGTAGTACTACTACTACCTACTATTACTACTTACTTTAGTTAACTAAAGCTAATAAGCCTTAAGGTAGTAAGGCTATAATAACCTATAACTATACTATATAGGTAGACACTAGTTACCTTATATATACTAAAGTTATTAAGTAATAGATAAGTAACTTTACTATAACAGTAGTTATTTTATAAGTTAGCCTAGGCCTTTATAACTACCTACTTAAACGCCTTAATTAAATCTACCTACTATAGGGTATTAAAGACCTTACTGCTAAGTAAGTTACCTTTAGTTATTTACCTACTAAAGTCTACTATATACTCTAAGGCTACTTTAGCTACTATAAGGCTATTAAGTAGGCACTAGTAACTATAAGTAGCTATTAGCTTTTTTACTAGGCTATATATAATATAGGCTACTACTAGCTAGCTGTCTACTTTAACCTTTACTTTATTAGCTATAACTATTTATAGTACTTATAAGTTACTAAAGCTAAGGCTTATTACTATACCTATAACCTTTAATTTTAGTATTATATAGTCTAATATACTAATAAGGTAAATAAAGGGCTTATATAGGCCTCTAAGGCTAGCCTTATATTATTATAGTAATATAGCCTTTTTACTATAATAGATACTACCTACTAGACTAACTAGCTTAGCTAGCTACTTTATATAGTTATAGTTAAAGATACTATAGGTAGCTAAATACTAGTTAGCTACTTTCTTACTAAAAAAGGTAATACTAATATTATTACTGCTTACTTATATATATTAAAGGGCTAAGCTAACTAGTAGTTATATTACTTTCTTACTAATAATTTAGCTATTAAATAATATACTATATATAATACTTTTTATAGCCTTATAGATAGTAAAATAAAGGTATTATACTTCCTTTACTATATTTACTATAAAAGAACCCTCTACTGTTATCTTATAAAACACCTAACTAGCTTACGCTATATAATCTCTATATTAAAATATTACTATATAAGGCTAAGTTATTATAAATCTATTACTACTATAATAAAAAGTTTAATATATAAAGAAGCTACCTATATTAAAAATAACTAGCTACTAATACTTAACCTCTAGGCTAACTATACCTATAACTATTTACTACTACTACTTTAGGCTAAAATAACTAACCTACTTAAAGGCCTTTATAGTATTATTAAGTGTAGCTACTATTATATACTCTAGTAATTTAGCCTCTAAGGGGCTATTAAGTATATTAACTATATTAATAGTAGATACTTTACTACTACTAAGCTATACTTTATAAACTTTTATAGTAAAGTCCTTTATAAATAATAGGTCTTACTTTATCTTTTTTATCTACCTATATCTATATAAAAGTTAATTACTAGTAAACTTTATAAAGCAAAGGTAGCTACTACTAATAGTTTAGATTTATATTATAATATATAGGTAGGTAATAATAGGCTAGTATATAACTATAGCTTTTATAAGTAGTAGGTTTTACTTTACTAATATATCCTCTAATAGGCTATAACTAAGGATAATATTATAGGCACCTACTAGTAGTAATAGATATAGGGCTAAGGTAAGGCTAAGTATAAGATATATAAGGCTTATAAGGTATACTATATACTATATATAGCTAACTATAAGGGTATTCTTATTCTCTTTAGGCTTACTATTTAAAGCTATATAGAGGTTTTATTAAATTAATACTATTAATAAAAGGAGGCCTATTATAATAAGTAACCTAATTACCTTGCTTAGTATATAATACAAGTAGAGAAGGCTATTACTTAGCTAGTAGGTCTTATACTTAATAATTAGTAGTAAAGTACTTTAGTTAGCTATAATAGTTAATTTATACTTTTTAATATTATAGTAGGCAACTTAGTAAAAAATAAAAATATAAACCTTACTATTAATAAAGGGATAAATAGTAGTAATATAAAGGAGAAAAAAATAATAGTTAATGTAGTAAGTAGGCAAGGTATTTATATATAGGTATAGATATAGGTATATCTGTGCTAGCCCCCCTAGTATGCCCCCTATACTGCCTTATTAGGTTTAATGCTGACTTTAGGAGAAATAGGTGGCCGCTAGGGCAAAAGTCCCTGAGGTACGCATGCGCACAGATGCCAGCCCCGCAATGTGTCTACCTGTTAACCGCTACCGTACGTAGCCTTGGGTTCTTGCAGTGGCACGATGCTAGCTGCTAAATGTGATGTCTGTCTCCATATTCATCATACCTTGCACGTCTTCGATCTCGATGCCCACAGCCAGCGTTGTGGGTCATGCTTGGCTCAAGCTAGTTAAGTTTGAAGAGTGCTGAGTGCATGAGGCCTGGCGGCGATGTTCAGCTGCTCTTGGCTAATACGGTTATTCGCGAAATTGTTCGGACGTTTGTTCTCCCTCCTTAGTGCGATTGAAAAACTAGATCTATGACTGCCGGGACTTTAAATAAACGTGGGACAACGAGATACCCGAATGTAAGCTTTCAACGTGGTGCTTAGGGGATCTTGCCTAAGCGGTCAGACGTTGGGTCCGGCATGTCAGATGGATGCGATTGCCTGCCTGGGCATGTTGGTGGCGCCGCCACCATACAGTCACCTCTCTGCTTTCTCAGCTGTCGATTTCGACGATTCTAGATTGTTTACTAAAGGAAACAAATAAACAAATAAAAACAAAAACAAGGAAGGAAAGGAAAAGAAACACCAGTGCTGTTGATGGCGCATGCCTTTCAACATCGTAAAGTCTTCGATATAAGCCGGCAAAGGAAGGTTTAGTTGAACAGTATGCTGCGTAGCTACAATGCCCTCTAAAAAGTCTCAAAACGTGTAAAAAGTGTCAGCTAAAATCCACTAGACTTACTATCTTCTAGCTTTAATATCTAATTAACTTAAGTATATAAATATACTTTTTTTCTCTCTATATATTAATATTAGCTATTAAGGTTTAATTCTATATATTAAATTTAGCTTTTAAGTTCTATCTTAATATACTTTACTTTTACTTTTTAGGAAATAGAAGAAAACTATAGAAGAAAAAATTTTTAAGTATAAAAGTAATTTATAAATAAGAGAAGATAGTTCTAACTCTCCTATATTATCCTCTATTGTCTCCTATATACTACTTAATAAAATATTCTACTACTTTAACTACTTATAATTCTTTAAACTATAAGAAAATAAGAATTTAACTTATAAAATACTTTAAATAAGTAACCTAAACTCCTATATACTAGCTTTTACTATATAGTATATACCTAAGTTAATAAGATATACTAAGTAAGAGATAGTAAGTCTAGTGGATTTTAGGTGACACTTTTTGCACGTTTTCAGACTTTTTGGAGGGCACTGTACTTCTGATGACTCCGTGTCCGTAGGACATACCGCACACCTTGGGCTTGGTAAATGGAGTCATGACTCGCTGTTGGCAAGGCGAATAACAGCTCCTCCTCTGTATGGCCTAGCTTGACGACAGCCTTGGATCCTTGAGTGACAATAATCGTAGGCCAGAATTAATCGCGTTGCATGTTTCTAAACCTTGTAATATTCATGTCATCGCTTCATAATTAAAGACTAGGGATGCGATTTCAGTATTCAATGGACACGGTAACTGATGGAAATGAAGGGGGGAATGGGTATCTTGTCGAGAGTTAGCTTCAGGGTTGCGATTTGCTACCATGAAGCCTTAGGGTGTGCTCGGCCGCTGGTCATGATTAGTGATTAGTGGCCAGGAGGGACTTTTCGTTACTTGTGCTACCCTAACTTTATGCTCGTTGTACTACTGAAGTAGGTTAGCCTATAGCTAGCTTACCGCCTGCTTAAATAGTTAAAGGTTTATAATGTTGTATTATTATAAAAGTTAAGGCTAAGGGGTAGTTGTAAAGGAAGAAGTTAAAGTCTATATTTCTTATTATTAGATTTATAGCTAAAATAACTACTTGTTAATGCTTACTATAATGTCTTTACTTAAAGAGCCTTATATAGTTAATAGTAATAGAAGTAATAATATATAATAGTCTAAGTTATCCCTAGCGCTATTACTACCTCTACTAGTATAACTACTACTACTACTACTACTGCTATTAACAAGGCTACTAATAAAGAAGCAAAAGTAGCCTAGTAGCTAAGTGTAAGCTATATAGGACTATAGCTATATACTACTCTTTCTTTAGCTTTACTAGTAGTAAGTTAATAATAGGGTGTTAATAGGTATAAGAGGGCTAGTTATAAGGTAAGTAATAGTAAATATTCTACTAAAAATAAATAAAGTTAACCTATAGTTATCTATACCTACCTTGTATATAAAGTATTACTACCTATTAGCTGCCTTCTATAAAGTTAAGACCCTTATTTACTTAGGGGTTAGGTATAATAATAATAGCGGTATTATTATAACGTTAGACAAGAGCTAGGAGGCTTTTAAGAGGTAATTTCTTAGCCTAAAATCTATTTACTATAAGGGCTTCTTATATATAAATAAGATAGGTAACTTATAGCTAAAGGAAGTAGTAACTAGGTAGTATATTGTAGAGGTTAGCAAGGTAAATAATTTATAAGTAGTTAAAGAAGATAAACCTAAAGAAGATAATAAGTTAGTAGTTAAATATAGGAGAAGAAAGGATAAGTATAATCTAGATGTAAACCTTATCTCTTTATTACTACTAATGTCTAATTTAGTAAGGGACTTATAGTAACTGCTATAGTAAAAAATAACAAGAGTAAGAAAAGAAAGGTATAAAACCCTTATATCCTTTAGTAAGTCTATTAAGCAAGGCCTTAGTAAGTTAAGTAAGGCTATAACGATAGTAATACTATAAGAGCCTAGATCTAATAATATAACTAAGGTAATTAATAACTATTAGTAGCTTTTTAAAGGCAAGTTAGATAGTTAGGTTATAGTAAAAGTTGTGTTGTTTTTTATAAAGTTACCTTATATAGCTGTTGCTTAGTTAGTAATAAAGTTAGTTAATAGTAAAGAAGAATTTCTTTAAGAAGTTAGTATTATTAGATAGTTAATTATTATATACTACTAGATAACTTGCCTAATTTTCTTATGCCTATATAGTAGTATTATAGTGAATTTTTATACTAGATTTCTTGCTAACTATACTATCTGTCTACCTATTTACCTTTGCTAATAATAATAACTGCTGCTTATTAAGCTTTTTACTATTACCTTTGTTGCCTTTACTAATAAAGTTATAAAGGGTAGTTATTATATATATAAATTAGATTTAGTTAGTAAAGCTATACTTAGGGGTAGCTACCTATAAAATCTTTTACCTTTGCTTAAGCTTACTAAATACCTTTTTAATAATAACCTAAAGTCTTAAGTAGTATATATTATATAACTCCTTCTTTATTACTAGCCTAACACTGCCCTTAGTAAACTCTTTAAGGTAATACCTTTTGCCTAGGTATAGAGTTATTATCCTGTTACTATAAGTAAATCTAGTATTACTAAGGTAATAATAGCCCTCTAGTACTATAAATAATCTACTAATTGCTTACTTTATTAGGGATATATTGTTTATTAACCCTTTAGCTTCTGCTAAGACATATATAAATAACCTATTAAACCTAACTATAGTAAGGACGTTTTATAATATATAGCCCTTATAGTAAAAGAATTACTTCTAGTTATTTAGTAGTATATAGGCCTTAATAAGTGTACTATCTACTGCTCTAATACACCTAGTAAAGCAGTAGTCCTAAGGCAATAGCTTTATTAATAGAGATATATATAGCTAGCTAGGTTAGGTAATAACTTTAGTATAGAGGGCAACTATTACTAGAAGGATTCTCTAAATAATAGTATATATAGTACTATACGCTATTTAGAAAAGATAGGTAGCGTTTTATTAGGTTTATCTTTAACTAAGTATATATAAAAACACTATAAGTTTCTGTTTAACTAACTAATAGATAGTATTTTTTACCTATTTACTGTTATATAACTACTTTACTAGTTAATAAAAGTTATACTTACCTATGTAAAAAAGGGCAGTAAATTACTTATTAGACCTGTTAATAAAGTACTTAGCTATTTACTTTATATACTTAATACTACTAGGATAAATATATTCTTATAGTTGCTATATATTACTAGGGGTATTATTAATAATAATAATAGCAGTAGCTAATACTACTGTTATAACACCTGCTGCTACTACTATAATATAGTAATAATTTATTCTTGTTGTTACTGTTGTAAGTATTACCTAACTTTATGTATTTAGGCTAACTACTAATTACACTGGCTACTGATTTCTTAATGCTAGGATTAACAGCAGAAAAGCCTAATTTAAATAACGCTTTCCTTCTTTTGGTGGTAGGTTGCGATGGATTTAGAAAGATATATTGTATAAATCTGACTTTCTAGTTGCAGCAAGCATCCGGGCTCAGATACCCCTCAGAAGCAGTTATGCACGCCAGAAACCCCTCCTGGCCACTAATCACTAATCATGACCAGCGGCCGAGCACACCCTTAGCGAAGACCCCTAGCCAGTGCACTTGCAGGGCAAAGTGTCGGGGCCTAGACTGTTGCGATAGAGCTAGCCTTAGTCACGTTAGCTTCTTGTTTGCTAGCGCTCAGCCGCACTACAGGGGACATACCCGATAAGACGACCATAAGCAATGATTTCTCATCATGAAATGATTCGTTTGCCTTCCGGGATGCGGGATGAAGAAGGGATTCCTTGCGAGGCTAGACGTTCTCATTGCGTTATGCTCCATGATGCATGCTCAAGCTGATTGTAAAGCTGTCTTGGTGCAGTGACAGAATTGCAACGCCGACACATGTTCCAAGGATCTAACATCCAGGTATATACCAATATAAGCAAGGACTTCGCAAAGAAGTGCGGGGTACAGTTAACGATCATGTACAGCTGGAAAGCTTCCGCGCCTCTTTAGGTAAGGCGCTGAAACCGAAGAATTACGAATGTTGATACCGTTCGAAATTAAGGGACGGCCCAGCTTGCGCCACGATCAAGCATAGTGGTTTTCTTCGGCACTTGAGTTATGGAAAACATTCTCGTGGCCATGTCGAGCCTTAAATGAGGTACACGCCGCACTTGGTTATGTAATGTGAAAAGACGTAGAAATCTGGGGCTATAACAAAATGCATTAGTGAGTGCCCGTCGCCACGTAAAATGTCAATAAAGTGCCGGCTGCCATCGGAGGAAGAATAATGGAGAAAAAGACTGACGCAAGGCAAACCTTAAAGCGGTTGATCGGACGACGGCCTTTCAACTATGTAATAACCAATCTATCTGTACAAGAGCCATAAACAACAATTTTTGGAAATGTCGGGCTTGCGAACGGAGGCTCGAGCTTCTACCAAAAGGCTATGTATAGAAAACCTCCCGGCCGTGAATCTAGCTATTTTCCAACAATTGTATGATTCCCAAGGAGGATCGCGGAGATGCTAGACTTGTTGTGGTGTTCACGAGTGCGCGTCTACGTTTTTTGTTAGCTTGTCGTCAGAGTTCCTTTCGCTAACGGCCATTGAAAAAATATCAAAACTATGTCTAGTCAGGTTCATATTTTTAAACTCAATCAATATAGAGATTGCATGGCCACCCCGAGTTATACGAATCCTCAGTTTGTGTACCTTATGGGTCTGTAACGATAAATCGTCAGCCTGTTTACGCAGAATATTGTCTGGCAGTAGGATTGATGGCAAACCAATTCGAAGGGTGCTTGTATAACGAGAATAATTTCAATCGGCGTGCTTGTCCCTTTGGTACTCTCAGACACGGTCATTGTTGTCGATGATCGTTTATTATTGTTGATTTTGGTTGAACCAATCTCCTTGTTGCTGGTGAGTGTGCCCGATGGCATGTGGAGGGATGAATCGTGCAGCGCACATTGGTGCTTACTCCCACTAGACCCCGAGTATTCCAGACCATCCATCACCTTGCAGGGTTGTTGCTGCTCATCTCAGGTGACTAACTCTGTCATCAGCTTTCCAACACAATCATCAGACTTTGCATCCTAATGCACCTCAATACTGACTGATCTGATCCTCACTAGCACCAATGCAACTCCCAAAACTCCCAGCGAAGGCTGCATACCTCCATATAAGGAACCCGGCGAAACGCAATGCGCTGAGCCTTGAAGTTCTGGAGGATCTCCGCACACAGCTGCTGTCGCACCTTACGTCACGGGCGACGGGTAGGGTCTTGACTCTCCCTGCTTTCAAACCCTCCGTCTTATCCGAACTCGAAACTGCGAGTCATCATGCCCACTCAGGATCAGGCGGCTCGTCGAAGCATCGCTGGCTTGTTGATGCCAGGGAATGGAGGCGTGTCAGGGAGGGTTTGCCTAATGTGCTCGTCATCCGCAGCCCGGGCCCCGTCTTCTCCTCAGGCCATGACTTGAAGCAGATCGCATCTCTGTCCCACTCCGAAGTGGAGCACACATTCGCTCTGTGCGCCGAGATCATGTCTCTCATCCGGCGCAGCCCGGCACCCGTCGTATGCCCCATTCAAGGCCTCGCAACCGCGGCCGGGCTGCAGCTGGCACTGTCGACGGACTATCCCATTGCCCTCTCCACGACCAAGTTTCAGCTACCTGGTGCTAGTATCGGGCTTCCGTGCACAAGCCCCGCCGCTGCCGTATCCCGTCGTCTCCCACCTGGTCAAGCCTACCGGCTTCTTCTTTCTGCGGAAGCAGTCCCAGCAGACGAAATGCGGGGTGCTGTGGATGTGGTGCCTACTCCCGACCATGCAGAGTCCACCGACACAGCCGCCGCAGCTTTCGAGGGGCGCGTAGCAGAGATAGTGGAGCGGTTGGCAGGGTCTGCAGGGCAACCTATGGCTCTCGGAAAGTGGGCGTTTTGGACCCAGCTCAGCATCAAAGGCGACGCTGTCCATGAGGGAGGGGGAGATGGGTATGAAGATGCCTCAAGCTGGGCCAGCCGGGTTATGGCGTTGCATGCGCGGAGTGTTGATGCAAAAGAGGGCATGTCAGCTTTTGCTCAGAAACGAAAACCCGTATGGCAGACGTAACCTGCCGCCCCAGTCCACCAACTCTGGCTCCGTAAAAAAGAAAAAAAGGATAAACTATCAATGATCAACTTGATTATCCACTGCGGTCCAAGATGCAATAATTCCCAGCGCGGTGTTCGAACTCGCAGCCTTTAGATAACTATTCCACAGAAGCCTGAGCTGGAGCTTGACACCGCCAGGGATTAAGTGGGACATCTTGGTCAACACTAGGTTAGAAGCGAACCTGGACATCGTCTGGCTGCATAACATGCATCATTCCTTGGAAAGAGCGAACACTGCAATTCAGTCATATTTGCACACTAGGGTAAAATTCATGAAAGACATCAGCAATAATAGGAAACTTAACAAACAACCTGGAATTATTTAACAAGTCCATTAGCGCTATGTACTTATAACCTAAGCTATTCGTGGTCTCTCATCTTTCCTACATAGGCAAACACTTGCCCGTTTTGCAACCACAACAAACAGAGTAGCTAAGAAACACCATGAATCTAAGGAACAATCAAAAAGTTGACCAACGCGGGGCTCGAACCCGCAACCTTCAGATGACTATCTCATAGAAGTCTGAAGCGCTACCATTACGCCAGCCGGCCAATCCGTTGAGTTGATGGCTTTCAACTTCGTGTGACAGGCGAGGTGTCGTGGATTTAACAACAGCCAATGCCACGCGGCGCCACAGGATATTTTGATAGCCACCTGATGCTTACACTGCTAACAGGTCTATTGAGTTATCTCACTTTGCCACGGATGACAAACATGGTATCTATTCTCGTGATAGACCCTACTGACTTCCATGACTCTGAATCAGATGCTGTTCTAAGATGCCTGCATCTCTGAACAAATGTCACCACATTGACGCGGACTAGACAAGCGCCTTCAGCTTTGGAGAGCAATGACATAATCTAGAATCTATATGCGTCAAGATCTATGGCCGTGCTAGTCAGTTGACCAGCACCGCTTCCAAAACGGCTTGGTATAGTATAGAAACTAAGACATATGCAAACTGCAGTGACTAACGTGTTAGGGTGAAGGCTTGGAATAAACTAGCGGCTTCATCTTCAATAGTTGAGAAGTTGTAATACAATCGAACCCTGGCAATTCACTGATGTGGATGCATAATAGATGACGTTGCTAACGTGTACTTCTAGTGAGCCAGAGTTCACCTAGCCAATAGCCCATGGCTACCTTGCGAAAGAGACCAATGATACATCCCTGGCTTATAGAGCTATTCAAGACCGAAAACTTTCAACTTGAAACTATTTATTAATTGTGAAAGATAAGACTCCCATCAAAGAATGCGTGTTCTGTTCAGTCCAACCAGGGGAGATCTTGTAATGCCTCACAAGAGAGAGGTCGATATGTCAGCTTTCCGCTAGTGTTCGTTTACATAACAACACAATTACTGTCGCGTAATAAAACGATACCTTTAGTTACGTAGGCAGTAACTAACACTTATATATCTCGTGATACACCCCCTAGATTTAACCTAAGTCAGATCTAACACTCTTTTTTTTTGAAAAAAAAAAAAAGCCTATCTAGGTACATCTTGCTAATTATGGGCAGTATAGATATAGGCTAACTGTAGGATTTTAGACTAGGAGTCCTTGTTGCACTTTAATAATCATAGGAATTAAATCTATAGTGTTTGAGATTTACGCTGCTAATGTACTTTAAAGTTTGACTATTGTGGCATAAAGTCGGTAGAGCTGGGTTTATAACTGCCACGCAATAAAACGATACTGTTAATTACGTGGGCAGGACCTAACACTCATATATCTTGTGATAATCATAATCAGGATAGACTGTGAAATCGGCCTGCCTGCCACCCAAGCAATCTTCTTCTCTTTCTTCTTCTTCTTTAACAAAAGCCTTCAAGAATTACAGATTACTCCCAGAATCACCAACGTTAAATTACAATCTAGTTTCAAAACGAGATAGATAAGAAGGTCATGAAACCAGGCCCAGCTCCGAAGAAACTACACAGGGTTTGCTCTGACGAACCACGATTCAGATGCTTTTACCATACCGCCAGTGAATCCCTTCTCTGGACTCAGAGACTATCAGTGGCAGCTATACTAAATCTCAGTCTTCTCTAGGTCGGCCGAATGAGAGAGCCGATCATTAGGCGATGTGCGATTTAGCACCGCACTCAGGCCAATCTCATTGTTGATCTCCTCCATGCGCTCAGAGTCGGCAGCGGCAGCCCCCTCTGAGCCAAACAATAGGTCCTAGCCGAGACATTTGTTAGCACACCAGGTAGATCAAGAGTCGCGAGGAGAAGTTGGAATGACGTGAGTACAAGAACCTACCATTTCTTCCAAAGATAAGCGCTTGGTTTCAGGAACAATGAACCAGATGAAGGCTGCTCCAAGATACGTCAAGAGGCCGAACAAAATATAGGTTCCGTACGTGATGCTTGTTAACATATCGGGGGTAACTTGTCCTACGCTATTCATAAGAAATCAGTATAAGCTTCAGAAGCCCAGGTACCTTGGAGGTCGTCAGATTCTTACATGAAGTTGTTCCTATGAGATAGCTGTCAGAATTATTCAAAAGCTTTTGGATATGGCAGTACTTACATCCAGTTACTAGAAGCACCGAGTGATACACCATAGGGACGTGTGCTCAAAGGCCACACCTCGGCAATGATAATCCACGCGCAGGGACCCCATGAATCTGTGATTGCGTTAGCCTTTTTGATTTCGAGATATTTGGACTTGTTTCGGAGAAAATCTGACATCCAAAATGAATAACAAATAGCCAGACCATGCAAACGGCCGCCCAGCCAGCGGCAGGCTGTTGGTCAAAACGGTCAATGTTCTTGGCAAGAATCACAGCAATAATGAGGTGACAAGTGCCCATGCCGATAGCTCCGACGGTAAGAACTGGCTTACGACCGACACGGTCGATCCAAAGAACCGCTGGAATCGTAGCAATGAACATTACAACACCAACCACACCTGTAGCTAATAGGCTGGTAGTTGTCTCGCTGAGACCTAGCTGTCCGAAGATTTGAGGCGCATAGTACAGAACCTATCATTTCAGTCAGCCTACTTTCGATTCCAAGTTTCAATACGGCTTTCCAGACGTCACAACGATGGATCTCAATCATCCAGGCTTATGTGATCGCTGGCCAGTTAAAAGAAGAAGCAGAAAGAGTCTAGCCATATGACTAATGGAGGCCAGAAGTTCGATTGAGAAGAAAGTCGGATACTTACTGCATTAATTCCTGTCCACTGTTGGAAGAACCTGTTACTGTTAGTTGTGTGCAACTAAAGGCTCCACTCAAAGATAAGACCAACATTGTGACCGTTGCTACGATGACTCTCTTGAACATGGCCTTGGTTTGGAAAAGGGCTTTGATCGCGACGAATTGCAATTTGAATGTGTTCCACGCATTCAGTTCTTGGAGATGAGGAAAGTGCTCGGCAGTGCTGCGCTTCTCAAAGAGAGACTGGGCCTTGATTTCAAGAAACTCGAGTTCGATCAGTTCGTGGTTCTCTGGGAGATCCCTAAGGTTGGCGAGAACCCTTCGAGCCTCCTCTTCACGGCCGTGGTGAATCAGCCAACGCGGTGAGAACGGCATCCATATCATTCCAATGAAAAGGAGGGCAGCAGGAGCTAGTTGTAAACTGATAGGTACCAGCCAAGCCGCATCGGACTGTGTCGCCTCCGTTGTGCCGCCGATGTAGTTGCAACCACTAACACTGTGTCAGCACACTGGCAAATTCCCAGTGTCAGGAAGCTTTGAGTCGGGTTTCCTAGGGGCACAGCATACTAGCTACATTGATGTTAGCTGGAAAGACGTCCAATCGGGAATAGGGGCTACTTGCTCAATCCAGAAACTGATCATAATTCCGAAAGTGATAGCAAGCTGTTGCAGAGCGACAAGAGCGCCTCGAACCTCGCTATGGAATTATCCATTAGAATGCATGGGGCACTGCAAGAACAGGTTTGCCAGTGACTCACGGTGGTGCGCATTCGGAGTTGTATAGGGGTACAATCATCGACAGACTTCCAACACCCATGCCCCTGTAGCCATGTCAGTGTTTGTCTTAGCGAAATGAAAAGGATTGGGGCCATACGTGACGAAACGTCCTCCCAAAATGGACTCGTGGCCACCGGAAATGGACGTGATCTGTACAACAACACCAAGCATGAAGACACCAGTAGCAATCAGTACACCGTATTTGCGGGAGCATACTTCAGCAATGAAGCCAGATAAAACAGCGCCAACCCAGGCACCGAGTTCCAGAATGGCTGTCAACCATCCCTTTTGTGTTTGGTTCTTGGTATATCCTTCCATATCTGGCAACAAATAAATGTATCAGCAAGCGGTGTCTTTCACAAACATACGACAATGCCCCATCCGAAAATAAATATACATGCGTACGCTTTTCAAAAGATGGCATGGCCAAAATGCCAGAGAACATTCTGTGCATCCATAGTGAGCTTCATAACAATCAAAGCTTAAGGGCAACGGGCGTCGCACCCTTGGTTGTAGCCATATAAAACTCCTCCAATGCAAGCGAAAGCAGCAATGCGGGCAACCTTCCAGTTCTTGAGTAGAGCTCTGGCACCACTGGCGCCCATCAGCGCTTGGCGTCTCTGCAACGCAGCATCGTAAGCTGCGTTGCCGGAAGCGTGGCCGCCCATAGCTATTGAGATATCTCAGCTGGGACTTCCAACAGAATGATGCGTTCCTCAACGCGTCGTGGTGATTGGAAATTCCCCTTTGTTATGTATTTGCGAAAAAAACTCGAACCGGCGACGGGGTAAGTGACCTAATGAGGGACGGCGGAACTGTGATGGGGGATGTCAGCACTCTTATTACTACCACGAAGTCACGCTGGTGGCACAGAGGCACGGGTCATTAATAAAGCTAGGATTCAAAGACCCCGACCGCCTCCCAATCACACATTTCCGCGTGAAATGTTAATCGGCCCTACATCTAGTGGTAGGATTCTTACTCAACATGGACAGGGACAGATACCGAGACTCTCGGCCCCATGGGGAAGCGTGAAAAAAACAACAAAAAACCATGGCGTGTGAGGTTCTCCCTTTAGGCGACACCGGCAGTCCGCTACCCCGCGGGGAAATGACCAAGGAGCCCCATGTTCTTTTGTGCAATCACAACCGGTAATAACTATTTAGCCTAAATGAAGCGCGTTCCGCCGTTCGTCTTTTGCCAGAGAGATTTCTGGCACCTATACTCCAGCGGTTCTTGGCAAGTGATTGGATAGGTTATATGCGCTTCCACTAGTGTAGTCAGGGATGCAGGTTGCGCGAGCTGGTGGAACTCCTCATGTCGGATCCTCTGTTGCATGCCGCTAAGCACCTACATGGCTTGCTCACCGACTAGTCTTTTATTTCTTTGGCCCTGCACTTTTAGCTACGGATACTCGCCGGGAATTAGACCGATTTGCGAAGCATGGGGCGTTCGGTACAGACCTCTGCCACACACCACCTTATCCTTCGCCACAGGTATGTTGTTGTAGCATCAAACTCAATGAAATGGATTGTACTGCATAGTGGCGTCGGAGGATTTGAGGTATCAGGCAGAATTCCTTTGAGTCTCCGGGTGCTCACGAGATCATATTAGGGGTTTCTGGCCTGATAGCTATCGACCTTGATGGAACTACGGATATGCGTTTGCGCTACGTGTTGGCGATAGCCCAGACCTAGATGCAATGATCGACCATGTCGGGAAGGCTTATTTCACTTTCTGCTTGCATACACACACATATTACAGTACAGTTGACACCGACAGACATTGGTTGAATATTGGTTGGACAATTTTATTGACGCCGATGCCCTGCAGAATGCGTGGGCGGGCTGGGGCACGGGAAAGCCCTTGGAATATACCTCAATCAACCTGCATGTCTTGAACTGGCCGGTCTTGATCAGAACGGTCACAAGAGCAACTCCTCTTTACAGATTAATCAGAACCGAGATTTTATTTTCTATATCCATGCCAAGCTTCAGGCGACATCGATGGATGATCTACTATGCTGCCTTGCCGAATACCAAACCAAGAAGTCGCTGGCCCCAGCTCGCTGACACTACTTCTATAGGCTTCGTGCGACGCAGCTCAACGGAGCGACGGGGGTCATCACCGATCGGTTGCTGAACCCAGCTAGTGGGTATCTGCGCGATAAAATCGTACCAGTAATCCCCCATCATCTGGTAACCTGAGTTCGTCGGATGGAGTCCATCTCTGAGAGCATCCATGGGAAATGTTGAGAAGTCGACGGCGAGAACGTGTTTTCCGGCATCGCTTCGCGTTTGAACCACGCCTGGAATCAGGGACCGAAACTGAGCAATATTTCTCATTTGGATCTCATCGTGACAGCCGATGATCATTCCGACAAGAACAGTAGCATCTGGACAATCCTTAACGATCTTGTCAATGAGCTTGCCAAGGCGATCTGCCGCCTCATTTGGGTCGTTGCCTTCTTTGGCTACGTCTAGGTTGGGATGCATGTCATTTGTACCGGCGTGAATAAGTACTATGTTAGGCCTCTGCTCGAGCGACGGTCCAACATGGTCAGAGATGAATTTGATGGTCATGCCCGACCAAGCTGCCTGTCATGATGGATACTCAGTCAGCTCAGTCATTATTTCAAGAGGGTAGCTATTGTGGTAAACTTACGAAATAATTACCAGGCATCGTGCCGTTCATAGTCTCTGTTCCCGAAAAAACGACCCGGTCTTCTGTGTAACACATTAGCTCACGACTGAAAGAAAAGCAGAATAATATGAACTTACTTGATAAGTTATCTCGGAGCTTGAGTCTATATCCATTGCCGTCTCCCCCATCTATGTCACTGAGAAATCCAACTGTAATCGAGTCCCCGACACCGAGGATGCGTAGTGTCGTCCCAGGCTTGATTGCCTGGCCGGGTTTAGTATGCTTGAAAGAGAGCGGAGAGTTGAGGCCCATGATGTCCCAAGTTCGTGGTCGTTAAACTTTCGGAGGCTATTTGCGTAATCTACTCAAAAGTCAACGGAAGCATGCAGAATTCCCTCAGGTGTAATAAGGTGAAGCACAATTGGGTTCACAAAGAGTATGAGTGACATGTCAGGTTTGTGCCTGGCCCGCACGGATGAACGACAGAACATGTGACATTTGTTTCAGGCTGGGGTCTCATTCTTATAACTTGGGTACGTTGCCAAGGCGGTCTGTCTCATAGTCGCATAGGTACACAATGATAGTAGCACAGTCGGGAAAACACAGTATAAGTGCCATGCCCAAAACCTACTCAACACAACAAAGAGTCCGAGTCAAGCCGCCAGTGAACTTCAAGTAAGCGCGGGCGGGGTTTTCCAGTCCGAAACCCCGATTAGCCCCAGAAACTGTAGTCTGTAGACCAGAATGTGGCATCAACAAGAGTTCTTGGTTGTGACCTAGCAACAGCTATGTTTGTTCGGCGTATTCGCCCACTACTTAGTAGTCAGAATAGCTTAACTAGGAGCAGGAAAAGGGAGTTGGGGGGGGGGGAGGGGGGGGGGGACGAGTCTTCGCAGTAAGAAAATCAGTATTATAGCCCATATCACTTTTTGTCTAGAATCCAAGTCCGCAGTGGTTGTTGTTTCTAGTAATCCAGTGAAATTAGTAGGTTGTATCACTTGTCCCTGATCACTATACACCTATAATCACTTTGTAATAAACCACAGTGTCCTGACATTTATAAAGAGAAGTAGTTAATTTTCCTAAGTCTAAGTACAAGAGAAAACTTGCCTAGAAATACTCTTCCTAATATAGGTCTTATTAGTTAGAGGCACTACTCTATAGTATCTCTAACTAGAACTAGCTATATAAAGCTATCTTAGCTTTATAATATACCCCTCTAGTTATAAAGTCTATCTCTATAACTAAATAAAAAACTATAAATATTTTTATAATAAAAGAAAATAAAATAGTTATTAGTTAATAATAGCCTTTTAAGCTAATTAATAAGTAATAAAGTAAATAATAGTATTATATAAAAGGTTTTTTAATACTATATCTTATTATTTATTATTATTTACTATAGTAGTAGTTTTTTTTATTTTTTAAAGTACTTATTTTTTCTAAAATAGGTAATAACTAACTACCTACTAGTTAAATAATAAATATCCTTTAATATTTTATTACTTAACTTTTTTTTTTTTTTAACTAATAACTTATTAAGTAAAGTAAGTTAATATTTTTTTTATTTACTATATATTTTAGTTTATATAGTAGTTTTAAAGCTATTTTTAGATAGCTAATAGTTAAAAGAAAATAAAAAAGAAGTTATAGTCTTCTTTTTAACTAGTAATATATTTTAAGTAGCTAAAGTTTCTTAGTTAGTAACTAACTTTACTTCTTAAGTCCTATAGTTTTTTTAACTAAGAAATTATTTAGATTTATATTTTTACTAATAATCCTCTTTAATAAAAAAATATATTTATACCTAAGTTTAGACTCTTTAGCTTATATAGTAGTTTAATAGCTAGAATGTTTTTTAAGTTATATCTTTAATTAGGTATAATGTCTAGTTATAATTCTACTAGAGGTATAGATTTTAGCTTAGTCTTAGATAACTAGGGTCCTAGTAGGATCCTTACTCCTAGGCCTAGTAATACTTTATCTATTAGTCTAACTAATTCTTTAGTTATTTTTAACTTAGATAAAGAAAGTATAGTACTTTTCTTCTTAATTTACTTAAATAAAATACCCTAGAGGACTTTAATTATAGTTAAAAAGTATAATATAATTCTTTAAGATAAGTATACTAAGTATAAGTTTTCTTTTTTTCTTAGTTATAAAGTGTTTTTTTACTTATTAATAAATCTTAGTTTATTTAAAAAGGATTTTATTAGTTTTATTAATTTAATAATAATAAATATTAATTTAAGTAGTTATAGCCTTATTTACCTCTTTTAATAAAATTAAAGAAAGCACTAAAAGGACTTTATAAAGGGGCCTATAAAGTATATATATATAGTAGTAAAAAAGTATATTAGAAATAGATTATTACTTTATTTATTAAAAATAAAGATAATTATAAGAATTCTAATAGTAATTATATTTTAAATAAGTTAAAAGATAATTTACTTATTAATAATAATCTAAAAGATAATAAGCTTAGTTATAGCCTTTTTTTTTTACTTATTAATAAAAAGTATAAAGTAAGTAGTAGTAAAAGTTTAATATACCTTTATAAAAAGTATATATTTAATATAAGTAAAAACCTAGTTCTTAAGAGAGGTCTATACTAGGACTAGATCTACTTTAGCTATCTTAAAAGCGTTATTTATAGCTTTTCTTAAGGTAAATATACCTTAGTAAATAAAGATAGTCCTTATAAATACTATATTAAGAATAATATATCTTATATTACTATTCTTAATAAGTTAGTTAATACTACTAATAGCTTTATTTATTATACTTACACTAGAAATATAAAAAGTTTAGTAAGTCTTAGATTTTCTTTAGTTATTTTTACTTCTAGGACTAATATTCTAGGTAAAAGTTAAAGTTTAAGAGTTAGACTTTTTATAAGGGTATTACTAAGGTTAAAGTACTTTATAAAAAGTAAAAAAAGAAGCTTAAGAGGACTAGTAAAGTAACTACTATTAACTTTACTAATCCTAGTCCTTATAATCTAAATATTTATCTATTTAGTTAATTAATTCTAACTTTTATTCTAGTTTAAGGTTATAACTAGGCGCCTAGTTTAGCTAAAAAGTATAGAACTATACCTCTAAGTACTACTCTAGTTATTACTAAAAAAAAGAAAGCTTTAATAGACTTTTTTTAGTTAGTTTCTAAAAGTAATATTACCTATAAACTTAGATTTATAAGTATAGTTAAATCCTTTAAGAGAGCTATCTAAGATAAGTATTAGCTATAGTTTTTAGGGTTAATTTTCTAAAGCGTTTAGAGTTTAAGATAAAAGAGGAAAAGTTTTAGACTATAATTTCTAGCCTAGGTTTTTATAAAGGAAAGTTTTTAGGCTATAATTTTTAGCCTAAATTAGTTTTTAAGGTAGTATAATTAGACCTCCCTAAGAGGTAAAGTATTTTATATTATATAGCTAATATAAGCTAATTTACTTATAGAATTAACTTACTTTTACTTTAATATCTTAATTATCTCTTTTTATATAAGATTATATATATTAATAAGATTAAGTAATAAATAAAAGTGTTTAAACTTAGTATATAAAAGATTTTTTATAAGTCTATTAGCTAGTATCTTATTTATAGTTATATAGGTAATATTAAAATTACCTTTTATAAACTTCTATTTTAATTATATATTTTAAATATTAATATATTAAAGCCTTATTATAAGTCTTTTTTTTTACTAAATTACTAGCCTTATTATTTACTAATTATTATAGTATATTCTCTAAATATCCTCTATAGCTAGTTAAAAGTCTTAAAATAGATATTTAAAGCTATTACTTCTTTAGCTATTTATTCTAGACTTAGGAGTTTAGCCTTAGTAGTTAAAGTTATTACTATTACTTAGTGTATAGCTTTCTACTAGATTATACCCCTAAATAGCAAGAAGATATAGCCTTAAAAAGACTTTCTTAACTCTTTATTATCTATAAATAAAGTATTACTTACTATTATAAAGGCTATTTTATCCCCTATATCTCTAAAGTAAATTATAAGGTAGTATATTAAATATAAGTATTAGATTACTTAGTTTACTATTAAAATATACTTTTTTAAAGAATTTATAAGGTAGTAAGATAAGGCTAAGTATATAAATATAATATTAAGTTATATTATAATTATAGTAAAAAGATTAAGCTAATCTTTATTTAGTATTTATAGACCTATTCTTTTATTACTTAGCCTAGGTTATTTTTAAGCGTTATAGTTAGTAAAAAAGTTAATAAGAAGATGCCTTTTATAAGGTTAAATTACTTTATAACCTTCTTAATATATATATTATAGACTAAAAAGAGTTTTTTTACCTACTAATCCCTTATAATATATATTCTAAGGTAGTATTTAGCTAGGCCTTAGTCCTTTATTTTATATACCTCTTTTAAGTTATTAATAATTTATTCTCTAGCTACTTAGTTATCTTAGTAAAATATAATAAGAATATTATCTATATAAAAGATTATAAATACTTTTTATTTTTAGTTAGTAAAAAGATATAGATCTTTATCTATAGGTTTTAAACTAAGGTTTTTTAGCTTTATAGAGAATTCTTTATACTAAAGGAAAAGAGTATTATATAAGCTATATAAAGTATATATAAGTTAAATATATTTTCTATATACCTTAAATCTATCTAGTAAATAGTATATTACTATTTTATTATTTAGCTTTATATTTAGAAATATATTAATAATGTTTAGCTATTAAATTTTAAGATTAAATTAGGCTATAATTACTATTATAATATAGAAAGTTTTTACTATAAAAGTAGCTATATAGGTTTATTAGAGAGGGTTTTCTAGTTATAGATTACCTTATATATAGATCTTTACTTTATAATATTTTAGGAAGCTATCTTTGTTTACTTTATATATAAATACTTATTTAAGTAGTAAAGGTTTAGATATTTTCTTTAAAGCGTTAATTAGCCTCTAGATTTCTTTCTTTATTAGCTTATTAATTTTAATAAAATAGGCCTTTTTAAATAGGGATTTTAAATTCTCTAGGAGTTTCTATATATCTTTAAAGCTTCTTAGTAAGTCTAGAAGTTTAAAAATAAAATACTTCTTGCTTAGTTTAAGGAATAGTCTAGTGTATATAGCGCCTTAAATTAACCTTATTATAGTTATATAGAAGGTTTAATATATATAGTTTAATTCTTTAATTACTTTTTACTAATTAAGTATAAAGGTACTAAAAAAATTATCTTATTCTTTATTTATAAAGTAAAAAGTTATTTTTATTTTATTCTATAGAACTATTATATTATAAGTAAGTCTTATACTATTTAGGTACTTATGTCTAAGTAGTAGTCTAGTTTTATTATATAGAACAAAGTTAATAAGTCTTCTTTTATGTCTTCTAGACTAGCCTTTATTCTCTTTTTAGTCTTAGGCAGTAATCCTCTAGTTTAATAACTTATTCTTAATAGTAAGGTTTAGCTTTTTACCCTTTAAGCTACTATAGCTCTATATATATATAGTCTTCTAGTACCTCTTCTTAGGCTAAATAGCCTTTTTACTCTAGAAGGTAACTAGTTTTAATCTATATAATATTCCTCTTATATTATTATAAGGTTATTATTTATTT